GTGAAGACAGGTCCATGGTGATCATTTAAAAGTTGCCCCCTGCACCCTACACGATCACTGAATAGGCTGGCCGGGTGAAGCCATGGCCGGGTAAGCCCTAAGCAGTGGCTACGGTCAGGCGGGTGACGTGGGTCGGGTTCGGGTGCATTAATTGACAGTTGCCCCCCTCGGAGGCGACGCCCTTTGCCACCCTGGATCACAAGGGCTAAGCCTCACCCTTATTAATTATTATTATTATTATTATTATTACTTATTATTATTAGGCACGTAAATAGGTAATAAAGGGTTGTAACACCATTTTTTTTTGTGTGCCACATTAGGTACAACCAACATGGATGATGTTGGTCACCACATCAACCCCTACAAAAAATGACAGTCCCGGGCTGATTTTTAGTCCCAGTCCACCACTGGCTACATGACCGTATGATCGCCCATATTGACGCACCTAATTCCTAAACTTCTAACAGATACAAAATAAACCGATCCTTCAGCCTCATATGAGCTCTCAGACACGTTCAAAATTAAACTGTCATCGCTGTCTGAGCTTGCTGCTGTGTGCGCCATCGTGCGTTTGCATGCAGATGCTGGGATCCTGAACGGTGCAGCTGGAGCGCTGTGCCCGCATTGACGTCACCCATAATTTGGCGGGACTTGAAGAATCCCCGAGAAGATCCAGGAAATGGTCAACATTGAAGGGCAGATTAATGGTTATCAAAGTACAAATATCCAAAATCAGTTCAGTAACGGTTTTCAAGGGGACAATATTTACTCAAATTGATGGGTTTGGATGATGGGGGAAAATCGTGTCACAGGCTCTTTAAAGCCTTTTATTTACCCAGGCAAATCATTTAGAATATGATTAACATGTCAATAAGTAACCAAAGACATTCAACTTTATATATTGACTTTGTCACTTGAGATTGAAAACATTTCTCCTTGATCACAAAACATTAAAGCAAGCGAAAACAAACCATCTAAAGTATATTCTTAGATAGAATATGTGAGTCAGCTTCAGGGATAAGATGCTCTCTCTTTGTGTTTTTCCAGTGTATAAGGTGTTTGAGAACGTGGCGCAGAAGTACGACACCATGAACGATGCCATGAGTCTGGGGGTTCACCGACTGTGGAAAGACACGCTGCTCCACGTCATGCACCCCCAGCCCGGGGTGAGACTCCTGGACGTGGCCGGTGGAACAGGTAAAGCAGCTCTTGTGTATTTTCTACATACCATCAAACTTAAACCTTAACTCGCTGACTTCTTTTTGTTGTTGTGATTATTCCCCTTGCAGGTGACATTTCGTTACGTTTTCTGGAGTACGTTTGTTTTCAGCAAGAGAGGCGGAAGCGGCGTGCAGCCCGGTCCATGCAGGCACCGTCGTGGCAGGACATTTCTAACAACTACTCGACAGAGGAGGAGGAGGACGGGCCCCAGGAATCCAGAGCGGTGGTCTGTGACATCAACAAGGAGATGCTGAGAGTAGGAAAGCAGAAGGCTGACGGCCTGGGCATCAGTGCTGGTGAGCTTCACTCTGATTCCCTCAGATGTGAAACACAGCTTTTTGGGATTACCTTTTCACAATATATGTACAGGTCATAGGGACAAATGTAGGGCTGCAGCTAACAATTTTTTTCTTTATTGATTTATCTGCAGATTAGGTTCTCTTATTAATCACATGTTTTTTTAGAGTCCAAAGTGATGACTGCAAATGTCTTGTTTCGGCCATCCATATCCGAAACTTGAGAGATGTCCGGCATTTCTCTGTTTTTAAATATCTTTCAAAGATATTTCAAAACAGAGAAATGCCGGACATCTCCATCTTAAAGAGGCTTTAAAAATATTTGCATGGAAAATTACTTTTAAATGTTTAATCTATTTTTAAAATGGTTCAAATAAGTTTTCTGTTAGTCAACTCATCAGTGCAGCTCTAGTTATAGGAGCCTGAATTCACCCCCATCTTTGCGTCCAGAGTCAGACAGCCATTTTTGTTATTGCCCAAATGTGTCCATACGAATACGACAAAGTTATAATTAAAAAGAATACAAGTTTGGCTTTTTTGTGAAAAAAAAAAAAAAAATTAGAGTAAAGAATCCAAAAGTTTTATTTTGGTTTCAGTTATAAAACTCACAGTAGTTATCATTAATATGGTTTTAGTCAGAATTCCATTTGTATTAATAATTGTTGTTAGACATTTCTAAATCAGGCAGCCATAAACAAGAGCTTTAGCTAACATTCAGTTCTTTTATTGGTGCCTTTAGTTTTCATTTAAAGTGGACCTATCATGCTATTTTTGAATAATATATTGTAGGACCATAACTATATAAGGCATATTTATACTTTTTATTTTTCAAAATACCAAACAGATCATGCATTTGATCCATTCCACATTTCGCTCAATTTAACACTGCCTTTCTCGTCGGATTCAGTGAGAACAGCACCATCTACAGGCCTGAAATATGTACTACAGCGTCTCCAGCGCTTTCGAACGACAATGTCCGTGGCTGTCTCCTCCTGATTGGTGGACTTGGCCCAATAGCCGTAGCGCCACTTCTGTGACGTCATAGAAGTGTTCAAATCTGGATCAGTCTGTATCAGATCCATTGCAGACCCTTTTTAAGAGATTTGGGTATGGAGGAAAATAGAGAGGGTTGTGTTTTCTGACACTTGGTGAGTTCCCTGGAAAACCGGGGACACATATTCATGTATAAAAGGCGTACAAAAGTGCATTTTGCATGATAGGTCACTTTTAAATTTGCTGCATTAGTTTTTTATTCAAAAACCAATCTGTCGCATTTTAGCGATATACTGAGAGCCGCAGTAAAGCAGAATTAATTACACTTTAAAATCAGTTTATTTATTGCAGGTAATATTAATGTATTCAACAATGTTAGCGAAAATATCTTTCTTGTTTTGTGCAGCCTTAAATGTCTACAGCTGAATGTCTCAGATAATATTATGCAAACACTTGTTTGAGAGTTCTGTGCGACCATGCATGATCTCAACGGTGTGCATAATCATTATTCTTCCACCTTGTGATCTGAGTCGAGGGCAACGTTTGCTGAAGTGTGCCTGTGTGCGGCAGGTCTGTCCTGGGTAGTGGGGGACGCAGAGGAGCTGCCCTTTGATGATGACCAGTTCGATATTTATACCATCGCCTTTGGGATTCGAAACGTCACGCATATAGATCAGGTAACTGGTTGCATTATCACTACAGCTTCTCTCATGCTCAGATGCTTCTATGAAGACTGTTCATTCATATTCCCGGGTCCACATGAGAAAGCACACGTTACAAATAACAGTCCAGATCAAAGAACACATTGAAAATAATCATAAAAGTAAAGTCCATGTAAATCAACACATTTAAAAACACACCATAAACATAACAGTCCTTGTGAATCAACACTTTTCAAGAGACGCATACAAAATTAAAGTAGATGCAAATCACAAACGTATATGTGTTTGTTTAATCTGATTACATTTCTACATTACAAATTACCTAATGCATAACACTCTACTTATAGACAGTACTGTCAAGTGTTTAACTGTGATCTATTTGATCACATATGATTGTCAGAAAAATAAACCAAAGAAGTTCTTGTAAATTTGTAGATAATGTGTTTTCATTTGAACATGCTTTAAACATCTTCCACGTGAATTAAGAGAGCTCACAGCTAGACTTGTTTTGGCAAATTGTTAAATGTATTTAGAGATGCAGCTAAAATATAATTCTTCAATCATCCAGTGTATAACATGGATATGTAAACTAGAGTATGTCTTTCAATTGTTTCAAATCCAATAATACTCAACTTACAAAGAAAGGTATCTTGGAAAATGTAAAGTCAAAGAACTGCGAAGCTGTTACTAACTGATATCTTTGCTGTAGAAATGACTTGAGATATTCAGTAATCATTTAAACTGTTATTAATGTCACAGTAGAGGCGCAGAATACTAATATGAACCTGAAGATGAGCATTATAGGGCCCCTTTAAGCGTGTCAGCATTCATTCTGTTCTGGTTCTCAGGCTCTGCAGGAGGCTCTGCGTGTCCTGAAGCCCGGTGGCAGGTTTATGTGTTTGGAGTTCAGCAAAGTGACAAATCCTGTTCTAGCAAGGTGAGGAGCAGTGCTCTCTAATGGATTGTGACTAACTGTGAATATGAATCAACCGTATGAATCTCAGAGAGTCTCTGTTGATTCATCACTGCCTTCACAGATCCTGCAAAACATTTTCACAGCTTGTTGTTTCTCTCGGAGGTGGTCGAATCGTATTCAAGAGTAGAGTACTCTGTCTCACCACATATACATGTATGCTGCCTACATTAAGACAGATCCCATAGATGCTCGGTTATACTGAGCACAAATTAGAAATATATATATATATATATATGTTTTTTTATCCGAGTGGATTTTGTGTCCTTGGATGAACACGCCCTCTTGTGGTTTTGTTCCTAAAAGCACTTCAGCTTGTTAAATGTGAGCTGGCTGCAGAGTACTAAACAGGGTTCTTACGGTCATTTAAAAACCTGGAAAAGTCATGGAAATTCAAAATGCAAATTCCAGGCCCTGGAAAAGTTATCGAAAACAATATTTTTCATGTCATGGAATGTAACTAACGTTGCATCAAATGTAATTTAAATCTTATCTAATCGCCGAAATAGTAATACTATAATGATAATAAATACTGTATCGTATAGTAATGAAACGTAAAATGTCATTTAACTGTTGAGGTATTTTGCTGGGTGAGAGATTTGAGTTGCTTTAGCGTGTAGAAGCTAGTAAGCCTATTTGATTTGTTTTAGATGGGCACAACATGTTTCATATGCAGACCTTATTTTCCTGTTCCATGTTAAAATAAACCATTTTCAGTGGTACGCTGAGAAAGAGTCATTTTTTTTTTGGTCATGGAAAATTAGGTAAAGGTCATGGAGAAGTCATGGAAAATCATTGATGAAAAAGTGTATGAACCCTGTACATAGAATCTGTTCTTACTTGGTAATAAGAAGATACATTATTCCTATTAGTTCCACAGTGTGGTATACAGACTTTCTTTTCTTTTTTTTATAAAAAAGAGCACTGGTTTCGCATCAATAGTCATTAATTTCCTTAAGTTTAAGTGCCAGTTTCATTATCACGATAGAAACAATATCTACTTTAAAAGTGTTTTCCTCCATTTCAATTAATTGCAGCACCTAAGAGAGTTGCAAGGAAGTCTGTGTTTACTGTGTAATATATAACACGGGTAGCCTATTGATAACATGTAAGACTACTTTTCAACAGGATTAAAGGCACCCAGAGACTGTGAAGGATCGGTAGGGCTTGGAAACTCTATTGAGGGACAGATGCACATGGAATGGATGGAGCAAAATGCGGATGATGGAGTCAGGGAGGAGAAGGAGCAAAAGAGTTCCGCTGCAGAGACTGGGACTGTGTTGAAGTTGTCTTTTAGCGAGGATCAGAGTTTCTCAAAAGCACCTTTGGGTGAGGAACGCATTGAGTTGCCTTCAGGTAAAGAGCAAGGCTTGCTAGAATCAACTCATGCAGAGGAGTCGAACATGAAGGAACCGGTTGAGGTTTCCATAGTGACTACACAGGGCAGGTCTGGGTCATTTGAGGAAATTGATGGTTCATATAGTGAAGAGGGCATTGAGCCTTCAACAGATGAGGAGTCAAGGTCTTGGAGTTATCCTCAAGAAAAGGTGTGCAATGAGGAAGAGTCTATCAGAGCTGCACAACAGGAGAAATGTGTGTGTGTTAAAGAGCAGGAGAGTAATTGTGAATCACCTATAATGGAAAAAGAGAAAATATACAGTGTTGCAGATCAAAGTGAACCCTCTGACATCCAACATGGAGAATGTTATTTGGTTGATGTCTCTGCTGAAATGCCTGGCTCCTCTAAAACGAAGGAAGATAAAATACCTAGACCTGAAGAGGATGAAGAACGAGGGAACATGGAGTCCTCTGAAGGAGTAGTTGCAGAAGATATTTATATTTTTGCAACAAAACAAAACCAGCAACATACAGGAGAAAGTACTTCTACGGATGACATATGTCAAAAGTCAAAGGAGATCCAGGCAGCTAATGTGAAAGAAGAAGACTTGGATGTGGACTCATACAAAAGAGTTCCAACATCTGCTTTTGCTCAGGGTTTGTCAGAGGTCCAGGTGTCAGATCACCTTCTGGAGACAGGGCAGGGTGTTGTAGATGGGCCGTCAGAACAAACCCACAAAGCAGAGAGAGGAGACAATTCAAAGAAAGTCACCTTTATCCTGGAGCCTGAGCTAATCCATGACTCAACAGTGTCTGAGGAAAATACCTCCATGGAGTCCAGGGCGGAGGCAGGGTCAGGTGAGAACAGGAAGGAGGTGAACCTCTCTAGAATCAAGCACATGGGTGAAATTGTTTGTTGGTGAGACAGAAATCACTGCATGTGGTGGGTTCATATTGAGAGCAGAATGTTTACAAATTCACAGGTGGACATGCTTCTCCACATATGTTTGGAGAAGCTTGTATGGATGTTTCTGTTTCACTTAAAGGTTACATTATTCAGCTTCAATGCGGTGGTAAGTAGAGAGACCATTTTAAGGCCATGAGTACACAGTTTCTATTGCAGGGTTGCACTTGAGGGAAAAGTTGTGACTGGGATTAACCTACAACAAGATAGATTGTGTCTATATGGTGTGGGTTTCCTTCATTTAAATACAATTGTCTCAGACATTAGCAGGCATCTACCTGTGTCAATTGAAGTCTTTTTTTTTGTCAAAGTGCCCTCATCCCTTTGTTAATGTATCTTTCACAGATGCTGAACTGAGCTCTCACGATGAGACCAACACTGCCGAAATTATTGACCAGATGTTCGATGAGGTGCTGGAATATGCTGGAAGGATGGAGGAGCAGAGGCGGGATGAAGGCACTGAGGACAGCGGCATTGGCATTTGCTCTGGAGACAAAGAAAAGATTGACATGGAGTCAGAAAAGGAGAAAAGTGAGGAAGAGAGGGAGTCCAAAGAAAAGCACTGTGATGAAAGCAAGAAGCTGGAAAGCAATAAGGATGAGCTGCTGACTTTTCCTCCCAGTGGCATCCTCTCTCCTCTCAGCAAGTCTTTAGAGGCTGTGGTCACACCTCTGGTAAGATAATTGCTTAATTATAGGCATTTTCGCGCCGGAGTACTTTTCCCAGGAATAGTTCAGATAATTCTTGGGATTTTGCTTTCACACCAAAAATATCTGGAATTAGAACTTAGTTCATGCAAACCTTTTCACCCCTGTTCAGTCCCTGCTAGAGAGGGGGTACTTTCCTGGGGAGGAAAAGGTTCCAATTTCTGATTGGCTGGGCGAATTGCAAAACACGCCCCGTAAAGCTCCGAAAAGTTTTGTGAAGCTGCCATTTTATTTGCTCGCATTAGCATTATTAGCATTAGCTCAGCGCACCAACGGAAAGAGACTAATTTATGGCAACACAAAATAAAACGTGGGAGCGGTGGAGTGATGAGGAGGTGTCGGCGCTTCTGGCGATTTACCCGGGACTTCGGGTGGCGATTTAGTCCGGGGGACTCCGGGACTTCGGGTGGCAGTATATGCTAGGGATGCCAGTGATTATTCGATTATTCGAATATTCGTTACAGTCTCCATAATCAAATATTATTTTTAAAAATCGATTTTATTTATATATTTCTTTATTATTATTTATGTTTATTTATTTTTTTCTGGCTTAGTTTCAACCAAAATATAGACTAATGCTAATAATAGTAATAGTATTAATAATTGTAAATGGCCATTGGTCACACCACCAGTTTGTTTTACTGTAAACTTGGAGGAAGCCTGCGTGCAGAGCAGACTGCTGCTGCAGCACGCTACACACCGAGCCCGCCCCCAACCCCCCTCTCCCTCACACGTGCGACTAAAGATGAACAAAGCGGCAGGTAAAAAGAGTTCCTCCTCGTGGAACTACTTCGAACTTACAAGTCCAAAGGAAGTTAAATGAAACAAACAACGGAATTCCTTTTGTCTGAGTTTTTTTCGTTCTCTCCCGCGGGGGGTCGGGGTCGGTCGAATAATCGATTATTATTCGCCAGGGCTGCCGAATAATCGATTTTGATCATGGTCAGTTTCTGGCAACCCCAGTACACGCCGTGAATTTGTGTCGATTGGTGTGACGATGTGTGTGTGTGTCCGTGGTTAGTGTGTTAATGGTCATTGTTTGAAACGTGTGCAGAATTGTAGGTTAGTACTCTCATGTTTGAAACCGTTCTGTAGTGTTATGAAGTTAGCACTTGGATTTTGAGGGTAGTGTAGTTTGTAGGTTAGTGGCCTGTGTGTATTGTGTGGCTGTGTTGTGTAGGTTGTCAGGTAGTCCACGTATTGTTTGGACCAGTGTGTAGTGTGTAGGTTAGTCTGCGTCATTGTGTTGGGCTGTCCCACTTGTGTAGTGTTTAGGTTAGTCACTGTCCAGTTGTTGACAGGTTCAGTAGTGGTAGTGTGTGTGTAGGTCGATCGGGACTAAGAGATTCCAACCTGTATTACGCCAATGTGAACACTCCACAAGGTTTGCGTGGGTACCGAT